TCTTATCTCCCCTTCCCTTCCCTTATGGATTTTTTTTTTTAAGTAATCTCTACACCCATCGTGGGGCTTGAACCCATGACCCTGAGATCAAGAGTCACACGCTCCGCTGACCGAGTCTGCCAGGCACCCCTCCTGTGGTTTTTCAAAAGCGGCTTCATTGGCTTCGTAAAGTCAACCTTAGCTCCTTTGTCTGGTCACCAGTCCTGGCTCTCTAACTGTGCCTTGTCCCTGCACAAAGCAGCCCAGCCCTGGGCCTCCTTGGGGCCGGCAGCCCTGCACCGCTTTGCCTGGTTACCTTGTAGCCGGTTGGAGGAGTGCTTCCCAGAAGAATGGCCTCGCCGGCACCGGGTCTGTTCCGGGACCCCATGCTCCCAGGCCTCCTGGTGTGGTGCTGGGCCTGTCTGCCCGCGGTACCACAGGAGTAACCGCTGGTCAGTCTTCAGGCCTGCCATCCACTTAGCGTCATCTCACAGTGACACATTGTGTAGATTAAACGTCGCACCTGAGTCTGGGGCTTGTCCCTGGACACTGCCCCAGCGGCCAGCGCTAGCATTTAGGCCCAGGTCAGTACTTGCAATCGAGCATGTGTTTGCTTAGCCTCTGTGCTAAATGTTGGGGATGTTAAGAAAAAAATAAAGGTACAAGACACAATTCTTGCCCTTAAGGGGTGCCCTGGCTACTTGGCAAATCAGACTGTCCATGAACTGCTGGCCGGTGAGAGCCGGGCTGCTCCCAGCACCGGGGGAGGGGGAGGCTGCTGGCCGGCACATCAGTCTGGGACCTCCCCGGGGAAGGGTGCGGAGGGTGGGGACAACACGGGGGCAAGGGTCACCCCTGGGCTGGAGGCAGTGCCACTGACAGGGCAGGGTGAGGGCCGGCGGTCAGGCCATCGTGGTCCTCCCACGGCCGTGCGTGGCGCCCGTCTGCAGGATTTTACGAGACGTCCGGCAAAGGAGCCCGCAGGAGCCCCTGGGTGAGTGAGCTCGCCGCGGCTCCCGTCGAGTTTCTTTTTCTGAGAGCAGGTATGCCGTTCCATCCAGACCTGCAGAACGCACATTCTTGGACGAACTCTCATTTCACAAAGTCAGAATACAGAAAAGCCCCCTGAAGACAGCTGGCGTGGGTCACTCGCAGCTGAGTCACTGTCTCTTGCGCAGGCTGCTACAGGCACCGGAACGAAGACGGCAGTATCAGCTGCGTCCGATGCAGAAATGGCACCTACCACGGCTCCGAATGCAGAGGCCGCACGTCGCTGCCCGGCCGCCCCGCAGCACCCCCCACCGGGCCCGCCTGGCCTGCTTCCCGCCGAGGGGCCTCATCTCCAAGTTCTGGAGGAACGGGTGGGAGTTGCCTTTCTTGTTCCCACAGCAGCGGGTGGCCCACCTCACCCGGGACCACCAGCCGTCGAGTGAACACCCTCGCTCGGGTCCCCTCTGTGCCCAAATCCTTGTCCCTGCGGGACGGCCATGGGGCGAGGGCAGCTGTGTCCCCATGGCCACCTCCCTTTCTGGTTTCTGGCCTGTGATTCCCCGCTGAGCTGTGTCTCTGGTCCCCTGGGTGTCCTCAGCTGGGTCCCCGTGCGTGGTCCAGACCTGCCTGTGGGTCTGGGCTGCCCAGGAGCCGGCACACTCACACGTCTGCTTCCCCACAGCCGCTGGCTGGGGCACGCACTTCCCGGTGAACAGGAGCACAGGGACACCGGGGCGGCCTGATTTCGGTAAGTCTCTGGCTCACCGGCCCAGAGCAGGGCTTCTGCCAGGTCTCGGTGGAAAAGGGGGCATTCCTAGTGCCCGTGACCACTTACGCCGGCCTCAGCAGGGCCACAGCTAAGGCCAAGGTCGAACTGCAGCCCGGCCGAGGGATCTATGTGCGAGAACCCTGCCCGATCACAGAGCGGGGCTGGCGTCAGTGGGCACAGGCAGGAGGCCTTTGCCACAGCACTCAACACGTGCCCCCGAGGTTCTAGTCAGTGGAAGGCCACCTCACCCGTGGCCTCAGTCCTGGCCCACCCAGCCCCTCAGTCTGCAGAAACTCTGGGTGTGCGGTTCTCTGGAGACTGGAGGGTGCCCTGAGGTCCCCTTGCCTCCCTCCGCTGTGGCTCTTCTGGGGATGTGGGGTCTGGCCTGCAAACACTGCGTGCCAGGCCGAAGAGCCCATCACACCACCCGGTCCTCAGGGCCAGACACAGGCCCCCCTCCTGCACACTCTGTCCTCAGCCTGCTCCTGATCACTGGGCGTCCCATCCCGTCCGAGATACGGCACGGTCCTGCCACGGAGGTGTGGCACCCCAGCCGCTGGGGCCACTGCAGTCGGGGAGCAGGACCGGCCCCGGGAGTGGTCGCCTCTTCTGAGGTGACCAGGTCGTGACGGGGTCTCGTGACCTGCAGACGCTGGGCCTTCAGCAGAGGACACGTTGTACGTGGACTGAGAGGGCTCTGGCCTTCTGCACAAGTTTCAGGACCAGAAGCAAGTGGCTTTGTGCTGACCTGGACCACCAAGGTCGGCCACCAGAGGAGGAGTTTTAGGGCGGGGTCAGCAGAGACGGCCCCAGCCTCCTGTGATACCGTGCCGGGCCTAGCAGTGGGCGTGCTGATGGCGGAAGGCCGCGAGTCTGGCTGTCGGGCCCATTTTCACTGCAGCAAGTTTGGGGCGGGACACCCTTGCCAAATGAGCTGGAATTCATCCCCGCCTCTAGGTTCCAGTGTAGCCGCAGCCGCGCCTCATGCCTGTCCACAGGCAGCCTGAGAGCACTTTCCCCACAGTTGCCATCCAGAGCCCCCACCCACGGGCCCAGCCAGCCTGTCCTGCTGACCCGTGTAGGTAAAGATGGGCAGGCATCGTGGGCCCAGGGTCCCCTCTGCTGACCGGCCCCCAGGAGGGGAGGATGTCGTGGGAACCGCTGCCTCTGAGTTGAGGGCTTTGACCTGGATGCCAGGGGTACGGGAGCCCACGGTCCGTGCCGAGCCTTTGGGAAGGAGACGGGGACCCCGGGGCCTGCTGTTCTCGGGGGCTGGAATCCTCAGCCCTCTCCATATCCCACCCCCCCGTGAGAAGCCTGAGGCCGAGGGAGGCTGAGCACCTCAGCCCCACAGCCCAGGTGTGTTCAGGAACAGGGGTCTGGGGGGGTCCCCTGAGGCCTGTCCAGGCTTGCCACTGGCTGCCACTCACTCTGCTCACAGGGGGCCCTCAAGTGGCAGCCTCTCTCTTCCTGGGGACATTCTTCATCAGCTCTGGCCTCATCCTCTCCGTGGCTGGGTTCTTCTATCTGAAGCGAACCAGTAAACTCCCCAAGGTCTTCTACGGAAGAAACAAAGGTATTTCCTCCTGCCACTGTGGCAACACCCTGCTGAGCCAGAGGGTCCTGCCCAGTGCACACACCCGCACGGAGCCACGGGTACTGCCTGGGGGGCACGGAGAAGTGGGGGCCGGGGTGGCGAGATCCAGGGTGCCCAGCAATGAAGACTCCTCACAGAACGACAGGAAGGGGACTGGCTTGTCACGTGGTTCTTGTGTCTGAGTATGAGGGGCAGCCACTTCCTAGGGAGGCTCCCGTGTGGATTCTGTGGGACTCTCAGGGTGGAGGTGTTGGCGAGACTCCATCTCAGGGCATCACAGCGGGGTTGCTGATGTGGGGTGGGAGGGGTGTGGGGAGGGGGTGACATCCCTGGTCGAGGGGCCACCTGCCTGCAGCTCCTCCAGCCAGCTGTCTCCTCTCCCCGTCCTGCCTCCCTGGGACTGGGGGGGATAGGCAGGCTGGTGCAGGGACAGTGGGGCCCCATGCCACTCCAGCTTACCCCGGACTGGATTGCAGACCCGCCTCCCTCCCGAAGATATGGGTGTCACTCCTGCCGTGCCCTCGGGTGTGCCGGGCAGATGGTCTGGCCGACGGATCTGATCCTACAGTGGACAGTGCTGGGGGTGATTAGCTAGAGCTTCCTTACCTGGCCTCAGTGAGACCCTGTCCACCCACTGATGGCCAATGCTGGGGGCCTCCGAGGGGCTGTTGTAGCTCGAAGGTGCTGAGAGTGAGGGGCCGGGCCCCCACGCCAGTCAGGATGGGCACTCCGAGTCCGCCGTGGGAGGCTGCTCCACTGCAGTGGCCACGGAGGTCCTGGTGTGTCAGTGCAGTGGCCGGGGCACTCCCACTCTGAGCCTCCTCCCTACCGCCCCCAGAGCTGCTCCTGGGCAGCCTAGGTGCCCACCAAGAGCGCAGGGGTGCATAGCGGCCTACCCAACGGAGGTGAGAAGTGGGCACTGTGGTGGTCTCTTGAGGCGGGCCCTCAGCCCTGGGCCTCACCTGGAAATGCAGGCAAGGGTAGAGCCTTCTCTGTCTTCCTGACGGTGCTGGAGACCAAGAGAAATGTGCCTGCTGAGGGCTGGCTTGTGGCTCTGCCAAGAGGGCCTGGGAGGGCGGCTCTCCCTGGGGTGCTTGGGGGCCCGTCTCCCCAAGTGCATCTGGGAAGTGTGGCCGGACAGACCACTGCTAGGCTGAGGGCACTGCTGGGCAGGTGTGTGGAGGTGGGGCTGGGCTGAGCCTGGAGCGGGGAAAGAGCCTCTGCAGGCCCTGGGGACCCCCTCCCCAGGCGAGGGACCCCCGCCCCGGGCGAGGCAGCTATGTGGCCTCCAGGTGACGCCTGTGTTTGCCCGCAGCCCCTGCCCTGCAGCCTGGCGAAGCTGTAAGTAACCAGAAGGATGGGCTGAGTGCCCCCGTGTCGTGGGCCTCTGTGCTGGGGGCCACCTGCACTTCTCACTGTGCCTTTTCTCCTTTTCAAGGCTGCTATGATTCCCCCGCCACAGTCCTCAGGTACGTCAGTCCTCATCTCAGGGTGAAAGATTTCAAAATTGTCCCTCCCTTGGGATCAGCCGCCCTTCAGGGACCACTGCAGGACTGGGCTCTGCAGGCACCCGGCCCTGTAGTTCTCGGGACACCAGGTTCTCCCCTCGTCAGCCACGGGACACCGGGTTCCCCTGTTGTCAGCCACGGGACACCGGGTTCCCCCGTCGTCAGCCACGGGACACTGGGTTCCCCCGTCGTCAACCACAGGACACCGGGTTCCCCCATCGTCAGCCACGGGACACCGGGTTCCCCTATGGTCAACTGCAGCTCTCGTGCCTTTTCCTTTCATTCCTGACATGCTGAGTCTGTCGGGAGAGAAGGAGAATACCCAGCAGAGGGTCTGGGGCCATCCCCGGAAGCCTTTGCTTGGCCCTCCCCAAGTCCCAGCTCTAGCTGGGCGGTAGGTGCAGGGAGCAGGCTGGCCCCTCCGGGTGGCTGGCACTTCAGTTTTACTGGGTCGGGTGTGCCCCACCTTGGATGATTCCGGGAGTAGGTACACATATGAACCCTGTTATAGATGACGCCATGACCACAGAGAGGTTAAGTGACTGGCCTATGGTCACACAGCCACAGGCCATGCAGCAAGTCTCCTGGCCTTCCCAGTCTTGTTCTTACCTCTGTGCACAAGTCTGGAGTGGGGACAGGGTGGGTGTCCCTCTTCTTTGGGCACAAAGAAGTTACTTGGTCAAGGCTAGCTCCTCCCTGCCCCATACAACGCTTGTCTGTGATGTCTCTAAAGCAGTACCATCTACAGGCATCTTGAATGTAAGTTCCTTGCATTAGCACCCTGGGGCCGTCATAACAAATGCCCGCGAACTGCAACTGCGGGGCTTGAAGCGACAGAAATGCACTCCGTCCCAGCTCAGGAGGCCAGAGGTCAGAAATCAAGGTGGGGGGTGGGGGCACTCCTTCCCGAGTCTCCAGGGGAGGGTCTGCCCTGCCTCCTCCGGCCTCTGGTGGCTCCAGTCCCTGGGCTGGTGGCCACAGCACTCCAGCCTCTGTCCCCCATCTTCACGTGACTTCTCCTGGGTCTCCTCTCTCTGCCTCCCTCTTGTGAGGATGCTGGCCATCGGATTTAGGGCCCACCAGATAATCCAGGAGGATCTCATCTCAAGACCCTCAATCACATCTGCAAATACCCTTTTTCCAAGTAAGGTCACATCTGCAGGTTCTGGGGCTCCGGACATGGACACCTTTGGGGGGACACCATCCAGTCCTATTGTGCCTCATGGGACCTGTTGGCCTCTGTGTTTCGGGAGAGCAAGGTGCTCGTCCAGGCCAAGGTGCTTGGGGTGCAGGGGCACCGAGTGTCCCAAATGAGCGGAGCGTTGGTCACAGAGTCTCCCCTCAGCTGCGGCCACTCCGCTCACAAGCTGGAGCTCAGTGGGATTCCCTCCCCCTCGGCTGCGGCCACACCCCACTCCTGTGAGCTGTACTGAGAGCCGACACCGGGGGCCATTCCTCCTGTCCCAGGCCCCCCTCTGACCCTGCCCGTTTCTGACCCTGTTTCAGTGCGGAAGCCGCGCTATGTCAGACGCGAGCGGCCTTTGGACAGGGACACAGGCCCCACTGCCATCTCCTCGGTGGAGGCCCGGGTCAGCAACGTCTGACCCGGGGACCCACCCACAACTCTGCACACCGCCTTGGAGAGAGCCCAGCACACAGAGGGCAGGTCTGGACACGGCCCCTGGCTCAGCTTGACCGTCTCCCAGCGACAGATGCCCAGTTGGAACCGCTGCTGGAAGGTGCTTCTTCCCACCCCACAGCTGCTCAGTGTAATGGAGGGGGAGGCGCCCCTGAGGCGGGCTCCAGAGCGTGGCCATGTGGGGTCTGGGCCCCTCAGGAGAGACAAGGACTGCTGGGCTTCTCCGTGCTTGGCAAAGCCGGGAGCTCGGCCACCCTGCCTATCAGAGCCCACAGCGGGCAGACATCCCCCGCACCACCAGGCCAGTCGGCCTCCTGGCCTCCCCGCCCGGACGGTGTCCGGACCAGGGGAGGTGGGGCATGAGAACTGGTCCCTCCAAGGCTGAGGCGCCTACAGGGCCATCCTGTAGCCAAGAGCCCCGTCCCCTCACCCCCAGCCCCAAACCACAGATTTCCAGGAGCTGCAGAGGCGAGTTTCTTGGTTTGCTACTGACTTCTGTCAGTTTGAAGCAGCAAAGGCGGAGGGGCCCTGCTGTCCTCTCTGTCTCCTGCTCATCACCTGCTCCCCACACGGGGCCCACGTGCTGCAGGGACTTGTCCACCCAGGGACTGACCTGAAAGCTCTGGAGGCCAAGGCCAGGCCCCCTGAGGGACGTGTCCACCCAGGGTCACATTTACCTGTGACTGCTGCCTGGGTAGCCTGGTCTGGATGGACCTGTGGAGGGCCGTGCTGTCCCTGGCTGCTTGCACACAGAAAGGGGTTCCCGAGGAGAAAGGAGCGATTGTGGCTACCTCCCACGCACTGGGCTCGGCACTGTCCTTCCCAGATTCTCAGTCGAGAATGATGGCTCCTTCAGCACCTAGTCTACATCCCAGGGTCCCGAGGCAGGGCCTGTGTGCTCAGCTGCTGTGCCCTTCTGCACCGTGACACGTGGCCCACGCGTCTACAGTTTATGGGTACGAGCTCGTTCGAGACTTGAACCCGCGACGGGCCCAGCACTGAGCGGGGCGCAGCAGCTCAAAATCAGTGTCAATAAACTATTCAGGGCTTTCCCCATCCTCACTGCGCCAAGGGTCCTCTGTTCCTCAGTAAGGGTGAGGCCCCGCCGTGGCCTGGCCCCACCTGCCCCACTGTGGGGGAGACCTAGGGGCGCCGAGAAAGCCAAGTCCCCCACGGCGGGCCCCCAGCCAGGCTGATGTGGACTCCTTCACTTCTCCAGGAATGGTGACCTGTCCCTGTGGGCACTGTTGTTCTTTCCTCTGTCCCCTTGGTGTGAGGAGAAGGGGACCCAGAAGGAGGTGGGGAGACCAGGCTCAGGGTCCCCCCCCAGCTTCAGGGACCACGGGGAAGTGAGGTGACACTCCGCTGCCCATCTGTGCCGATCGGAGGCTGGGAGGCTGAGAGCCAGGGGAGAACGTGCAGGACCGTCCAGACTCCCTTGGTTTCTGTGGCCCCCGAGGTCGGGGGGGGGGGGGGGGGGGGCGTCCCATCCTGTGGATCCTTGTGGGGAGGGAGGCAGACGTGCGAAGACACTCGCTCGTCCCCGTTCCCACATTTGCACCAAACCCTTGCTGCTAATCTGGGGACAAAACAGGAAATGAAGAGCCATGTTCAACCAGGACAGCAGGTACAGCCAGTCAGGCCCTGAAGGCCCAGGCTGGGCACAGATGCCCCCAACCCCACCTCCGGCAGCCTTCTCTATTTCCTCCACCCTAAGCTGCAAACTGGAAACCTGGGGCCATTCTAACATCTCCGAGTCCTCCCCCCACCCCCAGCCCCCAGCCCCAGCTTTGCCTCATCCCTGGCAGCAAAGTCTGTATTTCACCCTGCAACCCCTCTGGCTCCTACACTCAGGATGACCTTCCCCTGACATTCAAGGCCTGGGTGGCTTGGCCTCTGTGGCCCTCAGCCACGCCAGCTGAGCCCCCGCCCCCAAGCCTGAGACCACAGATTTCCAGGAGCTGCAGAGGCAAGATTCTGCCACTGGACACCCCGGGGCCTGCGTGCCACTGTTCTCTAGGCCCCAGTGGGGAGTGTGGTCACTGGACCAGTTCCATGACCCTAATGGGCATTCAGGCTAGAAAGCTTGTGAGTGAGTGGGTGCCATAGGGTATGGGGGCACCTGAGCTGGGGGCAGGTTAGCTGGCAGAGTCAAGGCATCCCCAGTGGGGCCCTGCCAGCCACTCCCATGTCCATCCTGAGCTCCAGCCGCAGCCAGCCCTTCCCTGGATCCCAGCTCTCGTGTAAGAAGCCAAAATGAGGCCGATTTATGGGGTCATCGCTCAGGCCAAAGGCAGGTGGGGTACCTGTCACCTCCTGACCCCCCACATGTCAATTGCTTTGGAGATCCCCCTCACCCTGGGAGGTGAGCATGGTGTGGGCGGTGAGCAGTTGGCACGGTCCCCGGGTCATAGCTGGCAGCTCATTCATTCATTCGTTCACTCAGCACTAGGAGAATCACTGAAAGCCGGAAGAGTCAGAGGCCAGCAAGAGGAAGCACTCCAGCAGCATTAGGAGGTGGGTGCACAGAGCAGGACCGAGTGGGGCGCAAGGAGGTAATGTGAGTGCAGAGGTCCTGGCCAGGAGCCTGGGCACAAGACCCCAGAAGGAGTTGGCCGCAGCATGATAGGGGAGGGCTGGCCGATTGACCTTAGGGGACCCGGTTCTCCATGCTGGGCATGAGAGGGACAGGACTGGTTGAGTCCACCGGACATCCTGGCAGGGTTTCCTCATGCCCACAGGGCAGTGCTGAGCCCATCCAGAGCCCAGGGCCCGTTCTCTGCCCATGTCAGAATCGCAGCCCGGATGTGTCCCAGAGTCTCTCCCGTATCACTGTCCCTAGCTGGTAGGGATGGGGCAGCAGAGCAGTTGACAGATCAGCCAACACTGGGCAGGTAGGGTTGGGGGCTCAGCCCTCACACCCCAGGCCACCTGGGCCCCAGATGAGCCCTGAAGGGCCTCTTCGTGCAGCGGCCATTGTGTGTGTCCTTGACAGCACTTGGGGTTTGAAGCCTATTCTGTCCCAGTCCTGGGGGGGCGGGCCCATAGCCGAGGTGGCCCTTGGGGTACAGTCCTCCCTGCTCATCTGGCCAAGGACAACGTCTGTGTCCAGCCCAGGACTCCTAGGTGTCTGGGGAACCCCACATCTCAAAAGCCACAGATGGACAGGGGTGAGGTGCTCATTAGGGACCTTGTCTTCTCCTCAGCACAGCGAGTCCCAGGCCTGTGGGGTCACACACTGAAAGCCATGCTCCCTGCACGTGTGTGTGTGTGTGTGTGTGCACCTGCACCCGAGGGACACATTTGTGCTCAAACACAGCCAGGTTGGCCTGTTGGCACACATATACCCCCTTACACAGAGAGCGCGTGTGGCCCCGCATCCACGCAGCACAGCCGCCCATCGCTGGGTGCAGCATGAGCAGGGGTGTGGGTACCAGCTGGGTCAGCCAGGTCCTGAGCTGCCGAGATCCCAGTGCCAGGGTCTGGACCCTGCTCCCGTGCAGTCAGGCCTGGCCACCGCCCCAGATGGCACGTTCCTCGGGTCTTCCCTTTGCCTCTGGGCACTGACTTGTCCGCTGAGGAGCTCAAGTGATCTCAGAGCTTGAATATTCCCAGAAGCCCTCAGGAGGGTGTTCTCAGAGCAGAGAGACAGAGGGCACTTCCTGGAGGCAGCACGTGGCCCTGAGTCACGGTCCCCTTGGGAACCAGCACCCTGTCACGCAGACGCTGGGCCAGGCCCACACAGTAGCTCCCCACATCGAGCCCCCAGCCCTCTGAATTTCCACCCCCTCTCTGGGTCCCTACCCCTGGCTGAGCTCCCCCTCCCCTGGCCAGCCAGCACACCTCTGTGAACGAGCGGGGTCTCTGGTTTCCCACTGTCAGATCAGCTGCGACATGGCTGTGAGGGGCACAAGCCGTACCACTGGCTGGGCTTCAGCCCCCCACGTCCTCCACCCAGGCCCCCAGGCCCTCCATTCAGCCCCCCTGCCTTAGCCCCAGGCCTCTGCGTGGGCTGGCCCTGGGCTCTGCGAGGACCCCACACTGGCTGAAGCCATTACCCCTCCCCCCAGGAAGATCTCCAGGCCTCCTGGCTGTGTCCGGGCTTCCTTGTGCTCCAGTATCCCTGCCCTTGTGTGTAACTGAGGGTGTCCCCAGCAGACACTCACCCAAAACAAGTCCTATGGCCAGTCTGATCCCTCACTTGTCCTTGCCCTGACTCCACCCCGGGGGTGCCCAGCCCCGACCTCTCGCCCCACTCCCTGGACCCAGAGCAGGAAGTTCCCTCGTGGGTGTGTACGTTGGGGTGGCACACGCATGTAAGTGGGCAGTGTGGATGAGGTGGGGGGTGACGGGCGAGGCTGAGATTGGGGGTGGGGGGCTCCTCGGAGAGGCCCTCCTGGGAGGCCCACCTAGTAGCTCAGGTGCACCAGGGCCTTAAACAGGGCTAGTGGGTGGATCGGTTTCTGGACCGGCTCCTCCAGTATCCCAGGGCCTGCTGCGGGGGGAGGTTTTACCCAGGCATCCGGCCCGACCGTGGAGGCCTACGCCGACCCCCAGCCTCACCCCAGACTCTGATCTCTCACCTCTGACTTCCTGCCCGCCGCTGCCCAGCCTGCCAGGGTGAGGACAGGAGGCCAGCCAATCCCGGAGGCCCCAGGCCACGCCCCTGGCCTGCATGACCTCGAGTGTATAAATACACCTGCCAGGAGTCCACACCCAGAGAACTCACACCTGCTCAGATGGTGCTCTGCATCTGGAAGAGCACACACGCTCCCCCGAGCCCCACCTGCCTGGGATAGAGAAGAGGGCACGCTTGCCAGACCGGTGCCACCAGGACAGCTGCTGGCAGCCTCTTCCGTAGGGGGACGCCTGCCAGGTGGAGCACGGGCCGGCCCTGCTGGGCAGGAGGGCTCAGGGCCTGGCCGTGGCCCAGCCAAGAGGATCATGCCCAGCCCTTGCTGAACCCCGGCCACCAGGTAAGGCCAGCTCGGCTGGCACTCACCCCTCACTGGTACAGGCTCAGGGTGGGGTGCCTCTGAGGAGGGCCGGGACCTCAGTGCCAAGGAACTGATCATGTGGGGGCACGCTGGCCTGGAAGAGGTTAGCCCGCGGTCCCCTCCCAGGCCATGCTGAGGCTGCTGCCGTCCCCAAAATGTGGTGACATTTCATGTTGCAATGCTGGGAGCACTCGTGACATCACGGTGACCTCACCATGATTCACGGTGGTCACGGTCATCATGCAGCAACACCCAAACCTTCAGGACACATCACCACGGAGTCATTCCGCTGGTCCACCTGGATTAACCAGCAAGTCAGGGTCAGGGGTCACGTTTGGGGGCAGGGGGGATTCCTTCTGAGCTCCATGGGGTCTGTCCACTGTCCTCCTTGCCTTTCCTCCTCCAGGCAGGGCCCCGGGCAGCAGGCAGGTCACCTGAGTCCTCCCCGGTGAACAGAGGCCCGGTCTGCTGTGGAAGTGGGAGTCAGGAGGGTCAGGAGGGTGGCGGCTGTGTGCCTACGGGACCCTGCAGGGGGCCGGGTTATCCTGGAGGGTGGCTGGGGCTCCTCCACCTCCGGCTCCCGGGCTGAGGTGCGTTTCCAGGCCCCGAGGGCCAGCAGAAAGCCCTCGTCACAGCCGGACATGCTGGCCCTACCGGTTCGGGCAAGGCTGGGAAACGAACCATCCTTCGGACGCCGGCCCCCACCCCTGTGCGGCCGGCCCTGCTTGACTTCCCACAGCCTACCAGCTCATCCTGGAGCCTAGACCGAGTCCGGACTCTCACCCAGTTGGGCCTGGCACCCTGCCCTCACGCACCTGCCCGAAAACTGGATGTGTACCAACAAATCAGATCCCCGTGTCGGGATCCATGTTCAAACCCATTTCGTCTGACCCAGAGTCACACTCTTCCAGCGAGAGCCCAGGCCCTGCCGACCTCTTGGCCAGGTGACCCTGGCTGAGTCACTCCACCCTCTAAGGTGCCTTTTTTATACCGTGGCTCTTGCGTTACGTGACCTGGGCCCAGTGTGGCAGAGCCCAGATGTCAATAGTAACGATTGTGGGCCATTGTCATCAACTTTATTTCTGCCCAGATGGCACAGCCAGGTAGGACAGGCCCCATAGGCGGCGTCCGCTAAGCAGTCAGCACGATGCCCTTGCGCGCACGGACTCCGTGGCCAGGCCATCCGTGGGCCGGTCAGACCTGGAGCACCCCCACCCGCAGATGCTCACCCCTGACTCGGCATGTGGGGGAGGGCAGGATTACAACTTGAACAGGAAGACCTTGACTTGGGTATGGGGCCTTTCTAGAGTGAGCCTAGCAGAGATCTCTGGGGCCCGTGTGGGTGAGAGAGACACAGGGTGAAAAGCAGCAGACTGTGCGGGGAAGGGGCAGCCTGTGGTCGCTCACAGCGCACTCCGTTCGTCCCACAGCTCGGAGGCATGTCGTCAGGCCAGCAGGCGTGGCATACGGCCATGCTGGCCCCCGGTCGGACCAGCCCTGCAGCCACGGTGCCCGGGTCCCCCAGCTCAGCCAGCAGCCCCAGGTCCCCCGGCACCCCGAGCTCGGAGAAGGCGGCCTCCCCGCTGGAATGCTCCATCTGCTTCTCGGGCTACGACAACCTCTTCAAGACGCCGAAGGAGCTCTCCTGCACACACGTCTTCTGCCTGGAGTGCCTGGCACGGCTGGCGGCCGCCCAGCCAACCGGCCAGCCGGGCAGTGAGGCCGTGCCCTGCCCGTTCTGCCGGCAGCCTACGGCTGTGCCTGCCGCCGGGGCCCCCGCGCTGCGCACCAGCCGCCAGCTGCAGGCCAGGATGCCGGCGCACCTGCGGCGGGAGGAGCCCGTGTGGCTGGAGGGCACGAAGCTGTGCTGCCGCCCGCCGCCCTCCGCGCCGGGCCTTCCCGAGCCTGGCTTCGTGTGTGTGGACGTGGGCCTGAGCAAGCCTGCCCAGCCCGCCGCACCCACGCCCACTCCAGACCCCGCGCGCCACCGGGGCCGCCTGGCCCGCTGCTGGGCCCGCTGCAGGAACTGGAGGCGGGTGGCGCTGGTCACAGCCCTGCTGCTGGTGCTCTCCTGTGTGGTGCTCTGGCCCGTGCAGTGCGCGCTCAAGACTGGGAACTTGCACTGCCTTCCTCAGCCCTCCGCGGCCACGGCCACGGCCACGGCCACCGCTTTCTCTTCTGGGCCCCTGGCTGACAACTAGGGTCAGCCACCCCTGCCCCAGCTGCCCGCGTGGGTCCCTTGCCCCCCGCTGGGTCACAGGTGCAGCAGCTCTTGGGAGTTGGTCCCCTGGAGGAGCCCCAACATCTCTGAGGACCCCATTTCCCATTCGACTCACCTTCCTTGCACTCTGTGGTGCTGGGTCCCGACGGCATGAATAAAAGGGTCCCCGAAGACTCCAAGAATCACAGGCTCCCACGGATCCCAGAGCCCACCTTCCTCTTTCCCAGGGTGCAGATGGAGACCCGGGTCCAGGAGAGACGGCCTTGGTCAGGTCCCTCCCTCTACGCTGTGAACCGCCTGCAGTGGGAGCCCTTGGCTGAGAAGGGAGGGGACTCGCCATCTTCATTTTCACATTTCACCCATGGCCCCTTCCCCAGGCAGGGCTGGCCCCTCCATTGTGCGGGAAGTGGGGAGGGCGGGGGGGGGGGGGGGGGGGGGGGGGGGGGGGGGGGGTGGCGACCAGGGGGACAGAGGGCAGCAGCAAGAGGCCGGGTCCCCCGGTGCCCACCCCCCTCTCCTAAACTGTACATTTTTAAATAAATTATTTTGTATCCACATTTGGTAAGGGGTCCTCACCTTGTAAGCCCTCCTCCCTGCACCACCGAGCCTCTCCCTCCCAGAAGAGCCAGGTCTGCCCCTGCCTCAGAGAGCTTTAAGCCAAGCGGACACCCCCACCGGATTGAACTCCCAGCAGCCCCCAGGGCAGATAGACCCCAGGTTCTAGGGTGTCCAACTCCTGTTCCCTGGGCTGTGGATGGGTTGGCGCAGTCCTGCCCTTCCCCTAGAACTTTGAGGCTCCCCCAGGAAGATGGGGAGGGGCTGGAGCAGCTGGGCCAGAATGGGGCGGGGCCCTGGCGTGGTTCAGAGCCCCCCCACTATGGACACAGCAGATGGCACCCCAAGAAGTCGTAGAACCCCAGGACTGAGCTCCTGGGAACCAAGGCCTAAGGGTGTACAGAAGCAGAAGTGACCACCAGTGTGTCCCTGAAGATCTCTCACAGACCCTCCCTGGGCCCGGCCTGGCTGGTGAAGCCGCAAGGTGCGGCGGCTGGAGGGATGGGCGGGAGGCCGCCCGGATCCGCTCCTGCCGTCGGCCCCAGGAATCCCACACCGCCAGTTAGCACGGTGAAGAGAGGCCAGGCTGGTTCCGGCTCGCCAGGCCTCAGACTCCTCACCTCTCGCCCCAAAGCCCAGGACTTCCTGTTCCAACCAGCGGGGTTTCTGGCCGGCCTGGGATAGGGAGGGTGCTCAGGGAGACCCTCGAGAAGCTGGGCCCCAGACCCCAACGAAGACGCGGAACTGAGAACGAGGCATTTTTTTTTTTTAATTTTTTTTTTCAACATTTATTTATTTTTGGGACAGAGAGAGACAGAGCATGAACGGGGGAGGGGCAGAGAGAGAGGGAGACACAGAATCGGAAACAGGCTCTAGGCTCCGAGCCATCAGCCCAGAGCCTGACGCGGGGCTCGAACTCACGGACCGCGAGATCGTGACCTGGCTGAAGTCAGACGCTTAACCAACTGCGCCACCCAGGCGCCCCATGAGAACGAGGCATTTTATTGAGGATCCCACAAAGCCACAGGGCCTTCCGAGATGGGAGGGTGTGGCCACAGACTACGTGCGGGCGACATCACACCAGTCACACACACCAGTCCACACGTGAGACCCACGCCAGGCACGTGACGTCGCACACGCACTCACACGGGCATCTCGCACATTCCCTGATGAAGCATTTTCCACATGTAACCTGTGCTGTGGGTCGGGCTGAAGACCAGCTCTGAAGGGGGGTGGTTGGGGTACAGGAGAGCTAGGCACAACGCCAACGGCTACAGTCCCGTCAAGCAGACTGGCCACTTGCTCGTCAGTGACTCACGTCACACATACAGGCCGACACTCAAACGTGGCACACGTGGGGTCGCACTGGTCACTGTGCTGTGCGGGTGGTGACTGGTGGCCCCCCGGTGAGCGACGAACCACCGCCCTGAAGCCCTGCTTCCCCCTCTTCCCTCACCTGGGAGCCCCAGAAAGGGCAGGGGCACTCGGGGCTCCCGACTGCCCCTCCCCATTTCTAGGCATCCAGGCCCAGGCCAGGGAGGGTCTGAGGGTTCCGGGACCCCTCCCCCAGCACTCAGGGACAAGCTCCGGGCTGTACAGTGCTGAGCACAGTCTTTTGAGGAGTGCGTCTTGCTGGCTCCCGCCTCCAGCCGCGGCTCCAGGCCCTGGGGGGTGGGGGTGGGGGGGCGGCGCACACGAAGACCGTCACCGCCCGAGGCCCCGCAGGTTCTCTACACGCCGCCGGGGCCCTCTGGGGTCCTGCGGGCGGAGAGAGGGTTCGGCCGGCGCAGGCGCGCGGGATCCCGTCCCCCCACGGCCTGCCCACTCCCGGAGACGACGCCGTCCCGCCCCCACCCCGGGACCCGGGCCCGCGCCCCGACGGCCCCACTCACGCCGCCGGTGCCCGGGACGACGCGGGCCCAGAGCTGCGGCCCGGGTCT